AGATTGGTGTGACCACAACCTGGGTGCATTTGATTCGCGGCAGGCGCCTTCCTAACAGTAAATCACTTACTAGTGATGGGAAATTCCACAGTTGCATACATCGTTTGTAGACATCGGCCATTTGATTTCATGGATACGACTTTGAACACCTTAAATGTCCTTTTCAATCCTAGGCATGACCGATAGCCAGCTGACTCAATAGATGTGACGCTAGGTAGAAGCTGCTCACACAATTATTCTTGCCCAGCTTCTGTGGGACCATAGGCACTGGCAAAAGCTGTAAAAACTCCTCTTGACATCTGAAGCCGAATAGGCGTTATCCTCCTTTCGAAACAGTTCTGTCCACCCAGTATTATTTCACCCTTTTGCCTGTAATGGGAAATCCGACTTCTTGTTCCCATCGATTTTGCCATGTAGTTATAAATCAGAATGTGGACCCAGTCTGCCGTAAGCGTCTTCTGTAAGAATAACTGATTTCCGCTAATAGCAGCGATATCATTGTGATAACCTTTCGGTTCCTTGAATGCAAGCGCACTGCGTATTTAGGACCCACCTTTCCACCAGTGTCAAGAAGAGTTCTAAATTTACAAGTTATTAGTCTGCTTTAACATGTTTTCACACTTTTCCCTTTGTAGTTTCTGGTTGATGCAGTTTTCAAACCTTCAGTCCCTTGGGATTTTCCTAGTCTTTTGGCATAATTCTCCGGGCTGTGATCCAACACACGTGTCTTTCCTCTTAAAGCATGTTTATAGAGGCTAACGGCTAGAGAATCTGACCCACCTGTCGGTAAAGTCCGGGCCGGGCCAGGCCGAGCCGAGAACCCAAGGAGACTTTTAGCCTTAATTTACTGGGCAAGTTCTTGGTTTGTGAAAGAACTTTGACTATACTGCATATTGCGCCAACGGTTACGAGAAACCGTCTGACGATCAGTCCCTTTGGTTTTTGGAGCGACATCTTCCATTTTGCCCAGGTTCGAGGGAAAAAACATCGGTAATTCCAAAAAATACGAAGATTCCAGTTGTCTGAAGAAAACACCTTACTCCTATTTGGGCCTCTCCTAATCCGGATGCCCTGCTGGCCTGGTAAAGAATTAAGGATGGTCAGAAGCATTGCTTTAGTACTGACATCCAGCAGCCACAAAATGGTTTCAATTTTTGGTCAGGTATATATATACATCTATGTAAACGCAACCATTTTGTCAGGTGCCCATGAAAGCCTAAAACTAGTTGACTATTTGTGGGGGCATCCGCGGTCATTCTATCTCCTAACTACTTCTGGTTCCACAGGAACGGAGTGCTGTCGGACTTATAGAGCACTCCATTAACTTTTCCCCTGATTATGGTCAGTCAGTGGATGAAGCGGGATCGGTTGCTTGTTGAATTGATTGACGGGGTTCCTGGGACCAAGTACGATAATCCACTCACGAGTGCATTGAAAACAGGAAGTGATTTCATGACTTAGCGCATGCTATAAATTTATCTGAAAAGCTGACTATTTAGAGGCTGTCGCATGGATATCCCTCCTATACCTTCCGATCAGGACAAAGTGCTTGGTGGATTGCTCTTTTGGAGCAAACACATTTCGCTTCTAACACTTGGCAGTGAAATTCAAATTTCTTGACTTGCTGCCTAACAATTCCTTTACGCGGGTGGTGTAAATATCATCGAGAGCATAGATTACTCGATAGTTTTGTCGACAAGATAGGGAATAAACCAACTCTGGTCGAATTCCGGTAAAAAGAGAAATGAAGGCGGTATTTTCAATTGATCGGATTTATTCATTCATTCGGTGAAAGCTGCGTATAAACTAGACAAATCCTTGTATCACCAAGAATAAGCTTATTAAGAAGGAAAATGAGGCGGACACTTTCCAGTAACAAAAATCTACTAGGCAGCGCCACTTTGTGTTTTAGATGATTCATGAGGGTGACATTCGCGTCACAGATCCTCTTTAGGCAGCAACATCTTTGAAAGGGTGACAGCTCCATGACAGGTGTTGTCCGAAGAACAATCTTACAACGACTCAACAACAAGTCGACCCAGTGTGTGCAGGTACCAGTGTCACGCGATTCCAATATTGTGTTAAATTACCTACGAAGAGCAGTACGTGGGACGACAGACACTGAGTGGAGTGGGGGAAGGAATAGAAAGATGAAGTCGGCCGCACCGTCCCATGCTGGTTACTAACCGTTAATATTGAGGTGCTTCTGCCATCGGTTTCCAAAATCCATCCTAAAAAACCACATAGGCCTTTCATGAATTCTTTAGCTTCTTAGTTATAAACCACCGTTGCATGGTGTTCAGTTTCGAAACATTTAGGCAAGTGCCGGGTCTAGACAGTTTCCGTTCTTAAGAGGTTAATTCATTTTTTCTCATTTTGTTGGTTGGTGCTCTAGCAAAAGTGTATTCCTTTCTTAAATTCCAGGCCACATCCATTAGAGAAAAAAGCTGTTCTTAATTACATCAGTAAAATAAGCGCGGTAGGAGTAAACTGAGTAAACGCTAGTGGCTGCTATCATTCAAGGGGTGAGCTTTACATTCCAGTGGAATTTGTGTCAGATTCCGGTTACTGGGGAAAGAGCAGTCCGAAAGAACGATAGCAACGTAACCACTATACATAACCCATGAGCTATTTTGAAGTTACGGCGATAGACTAGTTGAATCTGCTGCAATGTATGCTGTAAGCTGAAGCAAGTCACGTCATTTACGCACTGGCACAGCCGACGCCAAACGCTAAATCGTTCGGCAGCCAGTCATAGTACATAGCTATTGTGCGCTCTGTGCTAAAAGTGAAGCCGGGAATCTTGTCCGTCAGTGTATCGCTTCTGTTTGGAGTTTGCCAACCAGTAACATGTACTTGAAACATTTCGGTCGCCCCGAAACTGAGCGTATGACACAAACATCACTTTGCAATTATCCCTCTATTCAACCATGAAGTTAGTCTGACTGGGTGTGCGGCGCAATCTGAACTATCTGACTAGAGACACAAAACTGCAGATTAATATTCGGCTAATTATGTCCTCCATCCCCACTGGAAGGACTGAACTAACTAACAGCTGGCAACAGATTTTCTGTCCGTATCCAAATTGTCCAAGCAGAGGAGTCTTTATTGTAAATCAGATTGCAAGGCAAACACTGTATGGATCCCTGTTACGAGCAAAAAACAACTGCCTCTCTAATTGAATAACACTTAATGCATCAACCATTTTATTTTACGCAATTTTACGTTACATGCTGTTTGTGATAAGGCCTAATAAGCTGCTGATTCCGCGTCGCACCAGATGCGTGACTATGGAACCGTGGACTGTCTGATAAAATCGGAGGTATGCGATGGTTTTTAGAGTGTGGGCAATTCGTGTGCGTGTTTCTGCATCCAAAATTTATGTGTTCTCGACATATGAGTGTTTTTCATGACTGGCGTTATGGCAGTGGATTCTGTATCAATTTATGAATGTTAAGCTATGTGTGCACGTGCGGAAGTCTGAAAACGTTTGAAATTTCCCAGTTGATGCCACGTATCCAAATTGCGCCGCAAAATCCAGACTAAATTTCTGTCATCTTTGGCTTTTGAAGGATGAACGTCTATCGTCAACAGCAATAAATACATACAACTTATTCAGATTACCGATCTCATCTGCAATAGCATTACTGAACTGAATAAACCACATAGGTTTGAAAGTGTTCCAAGCGTCGTAGAAATACAAAACAGCTTACACCCTGTTGATTTATTTCATACACGCTTTCCGAAGCACTTAGAACTATGCAACCAATGTACTACTCATAAGGTTGCTGAAAAGCCATTGACAGCCCACGACTGGTTTCGTTCTTTTTGCAGCTCATCAGGTAGGCGCAGTCCCCGGGTTTCCGTCGACCTCATGTTCTACTTGAAATCGAATTGCACAAAAGTAGCGAATATACACTCGTTTGCAAACTAATTTGGTTTTTCGAGAGACTCACATGGAACCCAGCTGAATCTCTCGTTTGTGATGTTTCCAGGCAACTGAATGTTCTGCACCGCCTGAGTCTCCGAAAAATTCAAATTAGTTTGCAAATGAGTTTATATTCACTTATCATTTACGATGTAGTTTGCGATTGCTTAAAGTCTGCTAAGGGGGGCTTGTAAGATTACGCCTAGTGAAGAATGAGTTTCCATGTCAAATATGAAGCTAATCTATTCAGAACCGCTGGGAGGCAATGGTGAGATTTTCATCTATGTTGCGGATTATCAGCTACCTGAATCTCACGAATATCTAGATAGACTAGAATCCGCGGACCGTACCCCAGTAGCCGCACAGAAACATAAAAACCTCTTCAATGCCTCAGGCATTTTGTAAGTTATTCACACATTTTTCTATTTGGGGTATCTCTGTTACTGACAAAAATGGAGGCGGTGAAATGCCAGGTGAAACTTAAGTGCACTTTGAAACAGTGGATGGATTTTTAGTGCAAGCCGTGTATACAGATTGAAGGGTTTTCTCGTGTTGGTAGACAGTATTTTCTAGGTGTCAATCGTTTATTAGAGGCCTTTAAAAGGGGAATTTCAATATTGGTCGCTGAACTCAATATTTATTTGGATTACCATTCCAAGCTATGGTATTCACCCAACTGTTTGCCCTAATTGTCGGCAAATCTTATGCCTATCAGAAAGAACCGATCTCCAAATAATTCTATCTAGGTGGCTCCCTGAGAACCGACTTCGTTTCATGGGACTGATATAGTTTTATCGAATGGTTAACAGTGAAACCATAGATCACCAACCAGACTGTCGCTCAGCAGTACGTTGTTGATTGCCCAATGTAAAGTGTGATTGACACCAGTTGTGCGTGGAAACTACGTGCTTAGGCACGGTTAGGCAGTCAGTTGTCACACTTGTGCTACACTTAAATATGAGCATAGCGGAATGCATAGCTACCACCTGAGTAATCACTTTGTTGGTATTCATAAGAAATAACGTATAAAATTTCTGCTCGATAATTCACAATAAACGAAGATCCTACTTACTTTCATCAGCATTGTCCCAACACTTGTATCCAAACTCAAGTTCAACGTATACGCTGGTTCAGCATAAGGAACGGTTAATCCGGGACCATATGATTTGGAGGTTGTTTCATTGCCAGATCGATCGGCATTGGTCGTTGGGGCAAACACAAATTTTGGCTTGTTGTCGTTCAGATCCAAGACATGTATCGTTACGGTAATCGTACTGGATAGGCGCACTGGAAAGCCATTATCTTCAGCAATCACGTCCACCAGAATTACTGGAGTCTTCTCACGATCTACCACTCCGTAAACTGTTAGCTGTCCATCGTGAGTGATCTATGCAATCGAAATATCGTACTTTGTACAGTCTTGGGTCAGAACAGAGCAAGGTCATTGTGTGACACTTGTACAACGAGTAGTATGAACAAGTTTCGTATCTGTTCCAATTTTACGAATAATCCCAGCGTTAAACAAACAAATAATGTAGAAATTCAGTCCATTACTGTTATGACATCACACGAAACTTTACTAAAAAGTGGTGATGAGAGAATTGCATTACAGATCGAGATCAAAACTCAGCAAAAGTCCAAATTTGACCCGTTGTTTAGTCGCAAATAAACGGAGCAGCAAGTACGTTTTGTGATAAAGCCGAGCAAGAGATACTGCTTCTTAACCACAGCTGTTTTACAGTGGTTTAGTTATATTCAGCGATTGTATAGATTCTCTTCAGATGAATGCACACCACGGTGTTGCATTCATGGTCATCACAACCACACAGAAATTCTTTTATGGTTTTTTTCACTTGCATCCACCTTGGCTATCCTACAAGCGATTTTATTAGAAACAGTCCTTTAGGTTTTCACTCCCAATCCACTCTCTTTGGTCGTTTCTCCGTCTCTGGGACCTAACTAATGAGAAAGTATTCAGAGATATTTATCGCATACATAGTGGTGGCAAGATAATCCACTAGGCTTTATACAGCTGTGGCCTCATTTAGGTTGCTACTTTATGACTCTGTTTCGTCAGTACGCACCCAATGTTCAATGGACTAATGTTGATCTCGTGAGTTCGATTATCTGTAGGATCTGGTCGATTGCGAGGGGCTGAGCGATGCGCACTCAGCTTGGAAAGTCATTATTGGCACGCGAGTCATAACCGCACCTACACTCGTAGTACAAATGAAGTAACGCTGACTACTGTTCGTGTATAGACCTTTTTCTTCGACGATCGTAAGGAAGGGAAGCCTTGGTTAAGGCTGGAAATGCGGTAAGGTGTTAATACCAAATGAAACTGCAACTCAGTACGGCTTGTGGCTATGACTAAGCTATTGTTACGAAAAAACAGCACGTCATTAGGGTCGTGTGACCGATGGTGGTTGATGACATTATTGTCACTACAAGTAGCCGTTTTTAAAAGCTCATGAGCAACAACAGGAAATGTTTTGACATAGTGACAAAGGAGCCCGGTAGCGCAAACTTAGTAGATATGAAGCCGGCATACACTAGCAAAAATAGTGGTAGGATATTCTGTGTGAAGAAGGCATAGAGTAAAATATACGAAGATGTCAAGAACGCCAGATTCCGTAGTTTGCGTCAAGGTTCTCATTTTGCCAATGGAGAGAATTCGACTCTGGTGGCTACCCAGACTGATGCATTGTCCATTTGTGTTCGTATGTTTATGTCTCCATGTTCATCCTATGTGATGTCTCGGATATACCAATCTTGTTCTTGCTTGGTATTGCCAGTTTTTAGTGCTCTGCATTTCATTTCGGTTGGAAGGTCTGACCAAAATTACGTATACCAGCCACACAGCCTGATTTTTTCTCCAAAACCAGTTAGGCAGTTCAGCAGCCGATTGGTAAATTTTGAAGCAAGAAATCCAGCTGGGTGCTCCTAGGTGAGTGACTCCCAGATACCTTTTCAGCCATGATCTCCTTAACCATAAAACTCGGTTTAACATCGATTACTGCGTACTATTTACATCTGTGTTACGAGATGGGTTGCAAGATTCTTATGGAATAGTAACATCCAGGCAGTGCAGGCGGCTAGCAACCTCTAACGCTACGGCCATCAGAGAGTTTAGGTCATAACATGCGGTTAAGCTACATAAAAATTACCACAAAATGTGTAAGCGAAAATTCTATTCCTTGGGCTCATATGGAGTGATAAAAAGATTTTCTGAACTCAAAGTCGAACGATAGTTCGCAAATTCCTAAGATCCCACTGAATTTTCGTGGTGCATTTAGTAGTGAAGACATTGGTAGTGTCTCGTGAAAAAATATTGACGGACGAGATCGTAGCTTGTTCTACGGCCCTCAAAAGTAATAGCATTAGCCTCCAAAAAAACCGACAGAAAGCTATCAAGGCCTAGCAAATTCACAGGCTTTAATCAGTGGTCCATACTGGCCATTACTGCGATGTGTTGAAGTGGCTGAACAGTGATAAAGAAAAATGCCTGAAAACTGTGTTCAGGCAACTACCGAGTAGTGTCATAAATAGCAGAGAGATAGCTTAATAACCCTGGTCGCTTATTATACTAGTGATGATAAGGCCAAACAGAACTGCAACATCCAAACCTAATGAACTCTAAAAAATGTCGTTCGCCAAAAGCGAGTCGGATGGAAATACCAAATCACTTATGCTTTGCCCCTTTTGTACACGACCAAAAACATCTAGATCATGATAAAGGAAACTACTCACAATTTTGCTGAAAACTCTTCGACAGCTCTCGACAGGTTTCACCCTTCTTGGGCCTCGGCACAGTTCCCGAGTTCCCGTCAACCTTATGTTCTACTTGAACCTCAATGGGACTGCTTTCGAGATGTACACTCATTTGCAAATTAATTTGGTTTTCACGAGAGACTCAACTGAATCTCTCGTTTATGGTATTTTACAACTGAAAGAGCTGCACACAGGCCGTCTCATATTTCCGTTGGCACGATATTCGAGTTATCGTAGTAGATTTTCATAAGGGTTGACGGAAACTCCGGAACTGCGTCTACCTGATCAGCCCCAAGAAGGGCGAAACCGGTCGTGGGCTGTCGACGAGATTTCAGCCACCTTGTGAGTAGTTTCTTTTATGAAAATATACTGCCATAACTCGAATATCGTGCCAGCGGAAACATGAGACAGCCTGTGTGCAGCCCTTTCAGTTGTAAAATATCATAAACGAGAGATTCAGTTGAGTCTCTCGTGAAAACCAAACCTGAATTGCAAATGAGTGTATTCCTCGGAAATCTAGATGATGAATTTCACTTACAGAGTAATCACACCTAAAAAAACTTTTCAGTTTTTTTAAACCTGCAAAACGTTAATTTAATTGTTCCAAGTGGGTAGGACTGGAATTATCGTCTATTACGCCTGTTTCCTTCAATGATAATCTGGCTTCGGTTGGGATAGTCAATGATATATATCCTTTATTAGTGTCACACAAGTCAGTCACACAAAACCTCAGTCGGGTACGTCACAGAAAGCCACTTATCACCTATCATTAATTATCGCACAACGTGATGTGACGGCACATGGGAATGCGTGCTGTTATAGGAGTCACTGGTTGACCAACAAGCTATATTGACTGAGAACAATGGATGTGTCTTCTGGCCAAACCAACTAATGCTCTAGTGTATTTGGGCAAATTACACGCATTCATCCAAATTCTAGATTTTATTCCTAAACAGCAAAAAAAAACAAAAGAAGTGAACATAATTTTGTGCTTTTTGGATAGAAAGCTGGAGTTTTCCGAACCACCAACTAAGTAATGTTGTTCTTTCGTTTACAAGTAGCACAAAATTGGGGACGATTTTTTTTAAGAACTCTAGTTCTGATAGGATATTTATTCACTTCGGTGCCGTACCACTTCGGTGAACAATCGGTAAAATTAGGTTTGTCTTACCAGACTCCACGCCACATAGTCTTACAGTCAAAATTTCCAGTCGCTTTTTCCTGTCCAGATTCGAACCCCCAGGGCTCCCTTATTGGAGTTATTGCATTGGGCTTGGTAGGCAGCTCGCAACATGAATGCCATGTGGATAAAAATTTACAAACGATAAATGATTTTGCTTCGAGCCACTTGTTCATGATACCTAGGTTTAGAAATAGTTATTCTGATTGCTCCCCTCATTTACTGATTTATTTGTTCGAAATTACTAAGAAGCATAGGCTTCAAAGCGTCTTACCAATGTATTTGTCTCTTTGCATCCCAGTCAATGTTTAGCCAAACTTACTGTTGCCCCATTTATTTCCATTCTTAGTCTGTCTGCTGAATACAGTAAGGCGAATCTTTTGAGCATGTCAGAATATCATAGACAAATTTTTCAAAGCTCAGGTGGGACCATATATTTGGTACAACATTTCTCTTACCTTGAGGAATTCTCTCATTATTTTATCAAAGGGAAGTAACTAAAAAGATTAATAATTGCCATCCCGGTATCATCATTAGGATTTTTTTGAAACGGATTTGGATATGACATCAAAGACAAGCTGGATTATACTCTTAAAAATGATCTTGCAACCCACTTTCTTTCCACGAGCCAAAATATTATCATCATTAACATCATTATCATATAACACTATGTGCCAGAATCAGTGGAACGGTAATTGTAATTTTGCACAAATGTATGAATAAAAGAATAGAAAGACAAGAATAATATGAATACCCGGAGCGCAGTAGGATTAAATTTACCTGCACCAGTTGAGCTCCAGGACGTTCATGTAAACTCGGAGGAACGTGTGTTTGGTGGACTGGAGCAGTTGTGTGAGTTCCGCGTTTGTGATTTGGCTCTTTGGCAATTCGGTAAGTAATCGAGCCATTCCTCCCCAAATCGCCGTCGGTTGCATTCAAACTGCCAAGTACTTGATGAATAGTTGATGATCCATAACTCTCCACAACCTGGGCGATAGGGCAGAAAGAACCAAATAATCTGCATGGTCTGAAAGTTTGCTGGAGTAACACTGATGAAGAAATTCGTATGAAAGCTAGATTGAAAAAGTTAAACAAAAGTATAAAACTCCACGGTTCTTATATTTGCGCTGCAGTTTATACGGAACACCCATAGACACCAGGACTACATGTAAAATTATAAACTAAGAGTTTATGTGTAAAATGCCGCAGTGACACTCGCTTGATGACAGTGAACCAGAAGCAAAATTGCACGTTTCAGTACCTAATATATCGAGCTAAGCAAAATAATCATGTGATGATAGACAACGTTTGTCTAAAGCGCAAGGTGTCTTGAAGCATACCACTGCCACGTTACAGGTGAAGTAAAGATTTAAAGCAAACCACACGGAATGTTCATTGGTCTCGACATCCCACGTCACGCGATATCGCGGGTCTTATTCAGCACCCGTCATATGGTCGCTTGCTGAGATTATTGGTGGATCATCAGCTTGCCAAACCACTGGTTGTTTGCACGTCGTGCGCAGTCCGGTTGTCAAAACTCCATGACTGCTCAGTCTGATAAACCCTTTTTCCGTGTAATGTTCGATCCGACTCACTTGTTTAGATGAGAATTTCGACAGAATAGTCGCGTTCAAAGAGGTAACTAAAAGTTCAACATTTAATTTATGGGTAACTGGACGATTTGGGCGTAAAACTTGTTCAAATAAAAACCGTCTAACCACTCATCGTAGTCAGGGTACCTGGTTTAACCAAGTTCTACACCTAAACTCAGTTTGCCCCATTATGCGAGCCGGCTGATGAATATATGAACTTATTCTCAAAAGCCTAAAATTTCATGTTTCCTAGCGCTCTAGGATAGTTTCGCGATTCACGAAAAAGTCGAAGGGTACTAAATACGCCGTTTTCCAGGTCCCACCATAATTTACCCCTAACATAATCAAATTGCAAACCAACAGCTTTTTAACTGTCAGGTTTCAGGCGGAAATCGATGGCAAATTAGACAGGATAACCTGATTGTTCACCACGGCCAAATTTTTAGATGTCGAATAGCCGGCTAACATTTGAAGTAGCGAAAAATTCCTTATTCTTTTCGTGACAGTTTAGCCCTTCGGCGGTAGCCTAAATATTTCAGAAAACAGGTAATAAAGTAATGAGATGAAGTGCATCTAAGTCAAACAATCTCGAGCTCCAATTTCTACAATAATGACTACTCGGTTTTAATCACTTTGACAACTGGAAGCGAAGTACCATACTCCTGATAAAAGTCACTTTTCCGTTGAACTGTTGACCCTTAGTACTAATATTCTTACTGTACATAAAATGTGAACTCTAGTAAACTTGTTTACTTGAAGTTTTAAATGGTTGAGTTTATTGAGATGTCCCAGGAAAAAAACAGAACTTGATCATTTTTACCAGTTGATGAAGGTAACTCATGACATTTTTTACTAATATGGAATACGCGCTTAATTCATAAATCTCTGGAGAGAAATTTAGTGCTAAAAAAAGTAGGTAAATGAGACCGAAACGTGTCTAAAGATATCAAGAGTGTATACTGCAGACAATATCTGTTCAGGCCGGAATCTCCGATCACTTCCGCTTAGGTGAGACAATATAATAAGCAAATATTTTGCTTTACTATAGACAATCAACCAGAACTTGGTTTGGTATCGGTCGTATTAATCGGTTGATCATTTGACTAATAATGTGGTTAAAGAAGCATGAATAATCAACGGCACTTAGATTACTCCAGGTTTATTAAATCCCTCGTAATTTCATCAACAGACCCACTATAGGTGCGTACATTCTTGTGCATCCAAAATGAGTTCCTTACTGACCAACTCATCTGTATCTTTTCGATTGACTGGATCATTTCCGAGTCACGGTTTTACCACATAATTATTCGTGATATCTCATACTCAGAGAAGTGCTTCAGCACAGTACACACTCATGAACCGCTCTGTGACATAGATCCGGAGCCTTCTATCATAACATGATCCCTGGAACCGCGACGTGCATCACAGAAAAATGTACTCCGTAAAGAATTCGAAACTCAACCACTAAAAACGTTCACCTGTGTTTTGCCCACTTCTGTACGTAGCTGCACAGACTAAGATGTTCTTAACACTACCTCAGGCTATGTGATAAAATGGCATGGAAGTATGTGTGGAATAGGTGTCCATCCCATTTTCTGAGGACACTCGACCAAAGGTTTACTGAACCAACGATTTGTACGACATGTGATGCGAGTAGTCCATTACACTGTAGCACGTCTCTGGGAATACTATTATATTCAACGTCAATTAAAGCGTCTAGTTCGTACTGACACCGATATAGCAGACTTTTGCAGTCGAAGTGAGTAATGTGTCTCTTCTATATCACAGAACGATTAAAACACAACGAGGCAGTCCGAAATCGAGTGTTACAGCAAAGCGGCAAATGAGCTCGAAATACCAGCATTCAAAACATCAGGCTAAAATGACTGAAATCCAACAAAAATGTCAGTCCGTTCTCGGGGAGGAAGCCATCACCGAGATTGTTGTAATCTTGTTGTTATTCTTAGTACCGCTACTGTCGACACCGAATAGTTAAAACATGCACGATACCCCAAATGGTAAAGCTTGGTCCTGAAATTTCTTCGATGTATAACAAAGGTGGGGAAACGTTTACCGTTTGGGCAATATCTTCAAGATTTTTACCAACATCCCAATGACTTTAGCCTTGGTGCCCACCTGAGGGCTCTAATTTGAGTCAAGTGTTCAAATATTCAACCGTCTGTTTACTTGTACATGTCACCTCAAACGGAAAGTAGCTTGGGTTACACGCACTTTAAATGTTGAATGTGCAAAATCCCGGTTGTCTTGCAGTTCAGGCGTAGGTATACATTACAAGTTTTTAATTTACTCAGTGTGATGGAATTAATTGGGAAATGAGGGAGCCTTATGAATTACGCGCTTCTTGTTTATTTATTTGCTACCGGTTACATAGAACACTCGAACGGTAAAATGTAATGAATTACACAAGACCACCTTTATAGCATCTGTACAGGAAAAAGAAATAACGTCTCCCAACATTTTAGTAAAAAGAAAACTTGTGCGTTATAATTAATATAAATTGAGGTGTCCCAAAAATACGCTGGTCGGAATGAACAGTTGGTGGTGAATCAAACGTATGCTAACGGTCTCACCATGCGTGACGTCACATCATGCTGACTCACACCCACACATGTCCGCATTGCCATTCCATGAGAACTGTGAGATTATTTGATTTAGGAAAACTAGGACGACAGTCGTCTGACCTTGAACTTATGTCTGTCAGTAAATTGACAAGGGCGACCTGTTTGCGAAGGATAGTAAGCCGCACAAATGCATCAGTGACCACCAGCAGCGTAAGAAGTGACTGCGAGGATTGTTGATCCTTCAAGAGTTAAAATGGGCACTTGTTTACTTGACCTCATGGTAAGTGTGACGAACCCCCTATGAATATGTCTATGGCGCTGGATGGCAAAATAAGCCAGGTTTTAACAACTCACAAGGGGTTAAACTGCAAGGAAGCGTCCTGAAAGTCTTCAAATTCACCAAAACATCAGGGAATGTAGTACTAATACTTAGACGTTGCCGTGAGTGATGATGATGATATTACTGCAAAGACTTGGACACGGGGATGAAATATTTTGAATTTTGAAGCCCTACCTGACAAATCCTAACAGTGAGATTCTTCGCTGTATCAGGCTGCCCGGGATATTTCCCGATGAACCGCACAATCACACTCCACTAAAACGCAACTAAACGAGCAGCTGGGTAAATCTTTGTCTTAAGTGTGAACATTACTGCATCAGGAACTAGTTTCGGTGCCTAGCTACCATGCTCCCCGAAGGAAGCACGAGGGCTGGAATACTGCCATGTTGCCTAAGCCAAGACAGGTAAAATCGACAGGCAGAGGTTGGGTTGAAACCAGGGACATTCCGACCATTAAATTCGTGCTCTAACAACCTTGTTATAGCCATCTCACACGAAAACCGATTGCAATTGGAACTGATCGCTAAAAAGGATATTGAAGATCACTTCTATTTTCCGGGAAGTGAAGTAGCGTAGAACGCTGGTCAGAGAACTAATAGAAAATCATGCCTAGCTACATGCTCCCCGAAGGAAGCACGAGGGCTGGAATACTGCCATGTTGCCTAAGCCAAGACAGGTAAAATCGACAGGCAGAGGTTGGGTTGAAACCAGGGACATTCCGACCATTAAATTCGTGCTCTAACAACCTTGTTATAGCCATCTCACACGAAAACCGATTGCAATTGGAACTGATCGCTAAAAAGGATATTGAAGATCACTTCTATTTTCCGGGAAGTGAAGTAGCGTAGAACGCTGGTCAGAGAACTAATAGAAAATCATACATGATAAATAATGGTGGGTATAGGAAACAGAATTTTCAGGTACCATGAAACAGCCCAGGCATGGCCAGCAGAAGGAAAACATCAATAGTAAAACAGCATACAAACCATACTTTTGCGAGTTTAGTTCCGTTAGAGCTGAATGAAGTATCAGAGTTAATGTAGTGACCTATTTGATCAACAGCTAGTCAACCACGGCACAACAACAGAGTTTGGTGCACAAACTTTCGGTTTTCTCTGGTTTTGTCTGCTTTCCAAACTAAGTGTTACTGAGAATAACCCTAGGAAAGGGAAGCAAAGCTTCTTTACCTAGATTTAAGTAAAGCACTTGATACAGCGATCGGTAAACTGTTAATGTTTGGGTTGAGATTGCAAGCTATCAGACCAAGTGTGACTGAGAAATTATCTATAAGGAATGAGTCTTGCTGATTCCAGGTTCAGTCTAGAGGAGACTATTAGCGGAATAACATGTAGATTGATACCGGGTCTTCATCCATTTCCTGTGTACTTAAAGGATACGCTGAATAGCCATGAATGCCTTTGCTACATTTTACGGTTGATGTGAGACTGGTCAGCAACAGGAAACTTATGGGGATGACCACTGATTGGGAGCTCACAGGAAATGTCACTTTATA